CCATCCACTCATCCATCCATCCACCCATCCACTCATCCATCCATCCACCCATCCACTCACCCATCTACCCACCCATCCATCCATCCATCCATCTACCCATCCACTCATCTATCCACCCATCCACTCATCCGTCCATCCACCCATCCACTCATCCATCCATCCATCCATCCACCCACCCATCTACCCATCCACTCATCCATCCACCCATCCACTCATCCATCCATCCACCCATCCACCCATCCACTCATCCATCCACCCATCCACTCATCCATCCATCCATCCATCCACTCATCCATCTATCCATCCATCCATCCACTATAATCATAGATCCAGAGCTGGAAGGAACCTCACAGATCATCTTATTTATTTCAACTGCTTCATTTTACACATGAAGAAAACAAGACCCCCTAATGTTAGTGACTTGCCCATGGTTACAAACAGGATTTGAACCCAGATCCTCCGATTCCTCAAGCCAATGCTTTTTTCATTCTACTGTGATGCCTACATACCCGGCATCTTGGAAGCAATGGAAAAAGCAAAACTGACAAAATATATGAGGACTTTCCCTTACATGTTTTTGGTTTTAGAGCATTTTTTTAGGTTAATGTTTTCTTAAATGAAAAGAAATGTGCTACACTCTAAATCAGAGTCTCTTCATCTTTTTTCGTGTGTGTCATGGACCCCTTTGGCCGTCTAGTGATGCCTAAGGAGCTCTCCTTAGAGTAATATTTTAAAATAAAATATAAAGGACTACAAAGGAAGCAAAGTATATTAAAAAGAGTTCTCCAAATATTAAAGAATAAAAGTTCACACACTCCAGGTTAAAACACCCCGCCCTAAATGGATAGCCACACTGAAGAAAGGAGAAGAATCTGCAATTTCCTTCTAGTTCTGTGATTACACAATAATAATAATAATAATAAAACAATAATAACAATTATATGGTGTTTTGAAGTTTAAAAAGCATGTCATGTACATTATCTTATTGGAGCCTCAAAACAACTCTGTGAGGCAGATGTCACAGGCATTACACCCATTTTACAGATAAAGAGGCAGACGCAAAGAGTGACTTTTCCTAAGATCACCTCGCTACTACATGTCAAAGGAAGGATCTGAATCCAAGTGTACCTGGCTCTAAGGCCAGCAGATAAATAGAAGGCCCCTGGGCACTCAAACTTGTTTTGGTTTTGTTCCGTTTTCACTAGATTTCCATAAAGCCAAAACAGAAAGAAAAGCAGTTTCATGGAATTCAATGGGCCCTGGATCTCGTGTCAGGAACCTTGATTCAAGTCCTAGCTGGGACAATTGTGGGACCGAGCCTTCAGGACACTTAACTCCGTGGCCTTCCACGTTCTCATATGTAAGAGCTGATCAATATTTCTCGTCAGGAAAACCTATGCAAATTGTGTTATGTAAATTACTACCTCCAGGATCCTCAAATCACTAAGCATCGCTAAGCTAAGCACATACTCAGTAACCTATGCTGAAGCAGTAATACTACACTATTACCATTTTTATCAGATGAAAAAACTGAGACCCAGAGAGGAAGGTCACACAGCAAGTTGGTGGCAGAGTCACAATGGGAACTTGGGCTACACCATCCTGGTTCTTAATCATTTAGTCCCCTTTCCCAACACAGTTGTTAACAAGTCCATAGCAGCCACTAGGCTGAGAGCCCTAGGACCCAAGTTCAGGAAGAGGGTCAGCTTACTGTCCACATCCCACTTCCCTGTAGGGCTCAAATTCTCCCTCTTCCCACACTGATAAGCCCAATGCAACAACTATAATTAAAACAGTTAATGTCAGGTTATTTCCTCCATACCAAAGTTCTCAAACTGATTTCTTCGTTCTCTTTGGACACTTTTATTAGTTTCAATGAGAACTTCCTGCCTTGTTCTATCTGTTTTTTTTTCTTTAAAAAGAAAATCTTCGTAGGAAAGGAATGTAGAGAGTAATCCCAGGCCCCATCCAGGCTCTTCCCTTCCTCCCTCAGCAGGCTGATACGCAGAGGGTCCACTGCACTGGGAGTCAGGAAACGGGGCTCCTGTGTGAACCTGGACAACTGCCTTCACCTGGATGAGACTTCACTCCTTCAGTTATAAAGTAAGAAGAGACAGGATCTCTAAGATAACTTCCAGCTCTAAAGATCTATGTTCTTTATATAGGGTCCTCCTCATTAAACATACAATCCGATGCTGTTTGGGCCCCAGAACCCGTCTCAACGCTTCTATTCTGCTGTAAAGCAACAGTAATTCAAACAGATACAGCAGTACCCTCCTTCTCTCCCCTTATCCCCACGTTTTTCTGGAGTATGCTCCTGGTAACTATGCCACTCCTGGTGAAAATCTGATCATCCACAGACATCCTCTGTCTGTATCCAGCTACACAGATTCATTGCTAGGTTTGAGTTCTGCCCCCCCCCCCCATATAAACTGGTTGCTGAGCTAAAACTCTGTGGATGTACCAAAGGAGTGACCTGGTGGTCAACACTCTTTTTCCTTTCCTACTTCAAAGAATGAGAATGATCCAAAACCCTACTGAGTGGGAGAATGACAGGAGCTTTAACCCTTCCAGACTCCAGGCTGCCATGAGCACCATCCTACCTAAACAAGCCTGTGCCTGGGATGGGACCACCTGTCTTTTCTGTGTTTTCTTCCCCAACAAGATGACTGAGCAGCAACCTCAGATGAAGGAGTCCAGGCAACCTTGTGAGTTCCACAAGGTCAAGGGGTCCTGGCAGGCCAGGGAAGCAGCAGCTGCTGTGTCTACACAGCATTGCAGCAACAAGGAGAAAGTAAGGGAAGAGTCAGCATTACAGAGAGAAGATGATGCTTAGAATACAGGAGGCATTGGATCTGACTGGGCTCCGTGAAGGTGAAATGACTAATTAGCAGAACTGACAAACTAGGATATGTCTTGATGAGGCTTACTACCCAGGCTTCAGCGGTTTTAAACTGAGTCTCTAAATCCTGTTTAAGTCATTCTGTTGATGTGCATCAGGATTCTCATACGTTTATCATCACTTTCTGCGTGTGAATGAAATGACCTGTCCTATACATGATTCACAGGACATAATAGAAACTGCTTTTACTTTCCTCCCTTCTTAGAGAAACCCTAGACTAATACCAAAAGTACTGTTATTGTAATTAGCAACTTTGCTCAGAACACCCAGGTGAGGATGAGTGAAGAGCCAATAAATAGGAGAATTAGGGAGCTTACTTCCTTTAATGAGAAGTCAGACTTCCCACAGGGCTAAACACTGGGCAAACCACAAGGGCCAGGGCATGTACTAGGGCAGGTCACCAGTCCCCGTGACCCCAGAGAGCTAAGCGTTGTGCCAGATCAACACTAGGAAAACCTCTCTGTGCAGTGTGCTATATTAGGTGCTAGAGATACAGAGAAGTCCTACCTTCAATGAGCTTGCAGTCTAGAACTAGAGATAAGGTAAGAATGCAAATATTAACAAAACCTGTTAGAAGATACGAAGCACATAAGGAAAGAAGAAGTCCATGCAGGAACCAGGAGGGGAGGAGAGCAAAGAGGGAGAGAGGAGGAAGGAGGATTGAGAAGGTTTCTTGGAGAAGGTAGCATGTGAAATTGTCCTGTAAGAGTAGAACAGATTGGAGCAGGTAGGTGACCCAGTGGATAGAGCCCTGGCCTGGAGTCAAGAGGACTTGAGTTCAAATCCGTACTCAGACACTTAATAGTTGTGT